TGTTAATGACATGGGCTAAATAGCACCATTTTTAAAAGTTAACAAAAATTATATACTCCCTCCGGTAAAAAATATAAGGTATTTTTAATTGAATTTCACCCTAAAAATGTTACTTTAGTTTACTTTTTTCCTTATACTATTAAATTAACCTCTTACTCTTATAAATACCCTACAATAAATACAAAGTCATTATCAATAGAAGTACTTTTAAAAAAAAGGCAATTATTACACCTTAAAAGACTAAAAATATCTTATATTTTTAAATATTTAACTCTTTAAAAAAATATTTATATTCTTAAATAAAGAAAAAATAGATAGGTTTATGATTCATGATGTTACTAGATCTAAAGTTCAAATAATAATTTGCTCATCATCCTTATAAGTATTATAAGTAACATACGCATATATAAGATATAGATATAACTACCACATAATTAATATATAAATTTATTAATAAATATAAAATATATCTATTAACATTAGCTAAAATATATTTTCTATCCTTTAATTTTATACAATATTTTATTTTAATATTTAATTTTATAAAATATTTTTTTAATCTTATAACTTTAACACATTAACTTTATCAATAAAATGTTTTGAAGTTTCAAATATTAAAAAATATTATAATATTAATATTAAATTTAATATTTAAAATTAAAGTCGCCAGAAATCAATTGTAATTTTTTGTCATCAATTGTAATTTAATTCAGAATCGTGTCAGCCACACAAGAAACTATGAAGGGCTTCACACTTTTGTACACTTTACATCATTAATAATACAATTAATATATACAGCTCAATTTAATATTATATATGAAACTATAAAAATAACAATAACTATAAAATATTTAAACCATGTATTATATAAAAATTGTAAAAATAAACATTAAATATGATTATTTTTCATCTTTAATTTAATAATAATAATAATAAAATATTATATTATATATATTATATTTTATTATTAAAAAATATATATTATTTTATTATACTTATATTATAAAAAATATATATTATATTTAACGATAGAAGTTATTATTTTTTTAAATAAAATTATAATTGATGTTTATTATTTTTTAAAAATAAAATTATTTTTTATTTGAAATTTATTGATAAAGATATTTTGAAAACTTTAATAAAAATATATTTTTATAGATTAAATATTATTCCTTAATTTAAAAAAATTATTATCATTTTTATTTTTGTTTATAAGGGAAGAGAGGGTGGAAGCATAGAATTTTAGAGTGTCAGACTATGCTCAATTTTTTATTTTAAAAAAATCACCTGACACACAACTTGGCTTGATGCAAATCAAGTTATGTGTTAGAATTTTTTAAAAACTTGGTTCGTGGATGTCAATTTGTAAATTTATGGTATTGGGAAAAATATTTTAAAAGGTATAGTATTTGGGTAATTTTTATTTTTTGTTGTGTCCTGCGGAGAAATTTGCTGAGTTTAGAGGTTTCTTTTTTATTATTTTGTAGGTTAAAATATATAAAAGTTCTCGAATTTAAGGAAGCCATATGGAATCCCTTTCTCTTAAAAATTTAAAATTAACCTTTTCAACTTTTAATTTTTTTACCACGTACTCACCTGCTATTATTTCTTAATTATTTTACTAATATAAATTGCTGCATCATATCAAGAAAAAAAACATGTGATAGCTCATGTAGCATTTGATGCAAACTAATAATAATATAAAATGTATGGATAAAATTTTTATAAAACTATTATTTAATTATATTGGATGTCACATGAGCTTTTACATGTCTTTTCTTAATATAATATGATAACTTCTGCTGGTAATAAATAATAATAAGGCAGTGTATGATAAATAAAAAGAGGTTATGGGTGTTAATTTTAATATTTTAAAGATGAGGGGATTTTGTGCAACTTTATTAAAATTTAGAGAAGTTTTGTATATTCTAGCCTAATTTGCAGAGTTGGCATAATAAAACTTTTGATCTTTATATCAAAGTTATCAATCTTGTCCTTGATATTTGATCTTTATATCAATTAAATCCTTAAAGTTTTATAATTGTTAGGTAACATAGAATTGTGATTAGAGGAGTGAAAGTTTAAGTAGAACTGAAACTGAAAAAATAGATTGTTTAGTACAATTGATCTCACTTCTCTAAAAAATTTGGTTTCATCAAAATTGGTGGAATTCACTTCCATCCTTCTTAAAAAAAATGATTTACTTTTATATGTACGCCAAATATGTTTTAAAACTTGATTTCCACCTCATTTCCCTCTCCTTTTTCACTTTTAATGTCTGTTAAAACTTTTTCATGCTACCAAATGAGAGTTTTTATGTTTTCTCCTTGTACTATAAAAACTAATAATATTGACAAATATTAATTAAAATTTAACAACTAAATTGATAATTAAAATAAACTTGAAAAACTAAAAAATTCAAAATAAAATACATTGACCTCTTTATATTTTATCTTAATTAGAGGTATCTCCTCACTATTTTTTAAACCTACATGAACCTCCTTAAAAATGAATAGTTACTAAATACAAACCTTTCTTTTACTTTTAAAATTCAATGTTCATTTATGTAACCGTTAATTAAATGTTAAGTTTATATGTTGGGACAAAAATATTTCTATTTAAAGATAATGTTATTTAAAAATCATTTAAGTTACAAAAAATTTAAGGATTTTTTTTTACCTTTTTTAGTTCATATTTAAATTTGTAGTCATGAAAGTTATTTATCCAGTACTTTTTATTCGTATATTTTTTTTGTCAGTGAAAAAAGTATTTTTAAAAGATCAAATGAATAAGCTGGCTAAAATAATATTTGATTCAAAAATGTATGTTAAAACTTAATGAAATAAGGATTTAATATAAAAAGAGATATATTAATCAATATAATTTATTTTTATTTTCTATAAATAAGATAATTTTAATACAATATTTAATAACATTTATTAAACTATTGTGGAATATTTTTAATGTTGAAAAAATTGATTAAAGAGTATATTTTGAAATATAATTTTTTTGTTTGGTAATTTTAGCGAAGTAGAAGAAAGGTTAATCTACTTAATTCACTCAAAATTTTATTATTAAAAAAATTATAGATTAACAGGAAATCCAACAAATGAAAACGATAACACACAAGAGAGCTATGAAGGAAGAAGTTGGAAGAGAAGGACGGCCGGTAGCGCTTTCACTGGTAGTTATATCCATCCTATCAAAAATCAGATTGAATTGGCAGGTCTGACCGGTAAACCGGTGACCTGGTTGGTCTGAAATATATTTAACCTCGCTTCTCAGTGAACTGAATTGATCTGTTAACTTCGTTCTAAACTGGCGCAGCTTATTCAACCCGGTGGGTTAATCGAGTTGGCCGGGTTGGGGAAAAAAAAAAAAAATCCAACGCCAAGTCTGGGAGAAAAGGAAAACGTTCTGAAAGAAGAAAAAAAATCGAAATCTAAAGAAGAAAAAGAATAATAAAGAAAAGATGGAGACTGAAAAACGAAAACGAAAGACCCTTATGCCTTTCTGCATTGAGCATCATAGTTACCCAAAATATGAAAAGATGTTGTTTTTTTTATATTTATTTTTATTAAATATTTTATAATAAATATGAAGTTATTATCAATAAAAATACTTTTAAAAAATAATAATAATAAGGCTTTATATTTTTAATTATTTAATTTTTAAAAAAATATTTAGAAGTAAATCTGAAATTTATCCACACCATCCAGAACGCTGGAACGAAACGAAGAAGATGAAATAAAAACAGAAAAGTTGTCCGGCTTCAACTTGTCACACTTTCCCACAGACCTTTACTCTTCTCCACACATTCACGTTTCAGAATATTGGGATTGCGATCTCTTCAACACGCAGAACATTTTTTTATTATTCTTTCAATTAAAAGTATGTATTTTTCATATATTTTTAATTTTTATATTGTTATGTTATTTAATTTTTAAACTTTATCTTTTATCTGTAGTTGTCATGAAGTACATTTTAATAATATCATATTATTTTTTTATTTTAATTTACTATTACTCTTGTAGTATATTTTTTTCTTCTGCTATTTTTGCCACTCAAATATTATTATTATTATTATTATTATTATTGAAATTTAGTTTATATATATATATATATAATATTTGTATTCTATTAAATACATGTATTTATCAAATGGATAATTTTTTACCCTATTCAATGGACATTTTCATACAAACTTTCTGATAACTACCTAATACTATTATCACTTGAAATTATTATTATTATATGCTATATGAGATGTTAAGGATGGATACGAATGTATTGAAAATTAATGTATTTTTATTCAAATTATTTTATTTTGTCATGACTGATTTAATTTAATTTAACTTTAGATTTGGCCTCATTAAACTATTAACCTTAGACCTTTTATCTTGACCGGCTTGATTTTTATTACTTTAGTTATATCTGACAAGCCTAGTGGAAAACTATCATTTGAAGGAAGTTGCTTGAGATGTTGGCAAAAAAAAAGAAAAAGAAAAAAGGTCCCTTGAGATTTTTCCCAACACTCTTGCTTTCTTATTATACTTTTTTCCTTTGGTGCACACTCTCTTTTTATACTTGGAAATTGACAGCCAATTAGAAGTCAGCAGGCATGTAGTCAAATTCACACCACGCACCGCTCACAACAAACAAAACATTAAATGGGAATATAAAGCGCGCTTAAAAAATAATTGAGATCAGAAATCATAGTCTGAGTTGTCCACTGATGTAACTTTATTTATGAATCATTTTTAATAAATTTTATTGAAATAAAATAAAACTTTAAAATTCATTTTCTTTAAATTTAAGAAGTTTTTAAATTTATTTATTTTAAATATATATACACTTTAACAACATATTTTTTTCTTTAATATTAATAAAAAAAGCATTTTGTGATAAAAAATTTAATGACATAATTTAAAAAAAAAAAATATTTTTTTTCCTGTCTTATAAATAGCACTTGTGGAGTATTGTATCTCGAAGCACTGCACTCTGGGTTTGAGTGTACCAACGGTGTCCGAGTAAAAGCTTAAGATCAAAGCAAAGATTTTGGTTGGATCAAGTCCACCAAAATCTTCTTCTTCGTTTACTTTTTTTGTAAGAATCTGCAGAGAGGCCAAATGGCCAACAATACATCAAATAGGTGGGCTACACGGCTGATAGTGATTCTGATTTTAGTCTCAAACTCCATTTCAGCTCATCAAAACCGAAACCAGACAGCAAGTAAAGCAAGCAACGACACGAAGAACGAGGTTGAAGCTAATTTTATTCTTGATGAAGTATTGAACTTCATGATGAGACCCTCCTCGTCACCACCACCACGATTGGGATACCACCACACATGGCCTGTAAGTATATATGCTCTGCGATTTCTGATTTCCAGTTCAGTTATGTTTCATAATTGGGTCTCAAATGTATATGAGTTGAAGAAGAAAAGACTATATATTGGGTTCTTGTAGAAAATGAAATTTGGATGGAGAATTGTGTTGGGAACCATAATAGGGTTCCTTGGAGCAGCGTTTGGGACTGTGGGTGGAGTTGGTGGCGGAGGCATATTCGTGCCGATGCTTAAATTGATTATTGGATTTGATGCAAAATCGGCTACAGCCATGTCTAAATGTAAGATTCTGACATTTCTTTATTGGTAAAATGAATTTTCCTTTCTAACAACAAGGTAAGTTATACATGTATGAATATAAGAAGAAATCATTTGAGTATATTATAGGAAATAATTTATAGAAAACGAAATTATTTTTTGTTTTCTCTTTTTGTTATTGGAATATATTATTACCTTTTTTCTTCTGAAAGATATTTAAATTATAGAACAGTCCCTTTATTTTGTTTATCAGATAGCAATATTCAATTATTATTTTTTTCTTGTCACAAAAATACAAGGTATAGTATATCTTTTACCAAGATAATTTTATATTTCTCAGTTATATAATATAACAAAGATCAAATACATCTGATAAGTCTCACAAAATTAGTTAAATACCCTAAAATCTCATGAAATGTAAAAAATATTTGAAGTCCCAAGTCTCGTGTATAAATAATTTTGAAGATGCAATTACAAGTTACCTACTGGGTTGAAGGAATCAAAGATCAGTTCGGCTCGCCATCTTCCTCGTCGCAAGGTAACATCTTCCAGTGTGGTGTTTGAAACCTGAGAGGATCGCAATAGGAAACCTCTGTTACCACCACCTTGTGATGATTACAAACTAAAAAAAATACATCCTAAAAGATTAGTTTATTTGTTAAAAAAGTCTTTTATATTTATAAATTACATACCACTTACAAGGCAATTCTTCTTGTGACATTGACCTTTCAAAGAAAGGCCCAATATAACCAGTAGAAGTTTAAGGGAAGAGTCTATCTCAAAAAATTAGTCTATTATGTGAGAGAGCCTTTTATATTTATAAATTCCATATTACTATTAAGGCTTTCCGACGTGGTATTTGTGCCAAACCTTGCACCTGCGTTCCTTGGCCAGGTTATGTGCGAACCCACACAAGGCCTTCACTATCTTCACTATCCTTGGCCAGGTTCTCCTGCGGTAGGACCAACTTGGGACGGCGAGGTAGGTCCCGAGGTTGGGTTTGTTGTTGAGGATGGAATTAATGTCACGAGGGAAGAAGTCTGTGGTAGCGAAGCGACGGCAATGGAGGGACTCGGTGTCGTCAGGATTGAGCAGGCGGGATGATGGTCACCTTGCGAGAGAGGAGTGAGTATCCACATTTGTCGGTGAAGAGCTTAACGAATTATCATCATCCAGATCGAGATTTTCTTCGATAAAGAATCTCTAATGCAATTAAAATGGAGGAAAAGGAGTACGAACGGACCTTTGTTTTTTAGATGAATGCATTAATTAGTTCTGCTCTGCAATGGATAAAATCGGCCAAACAAAATGGGATCTTCAAAGTTAGTTCTTAAACATTTTCAGCAACAGAATTGGTTTTCCCAAGCGAAAACAAAGATCTGCTTCTGTGGTTAAGAACAATATTCAAGATGATGATTTCCACTTTTTCAGAAGGTCAACTGCGAGAAGCTCGATTGCTGGTGGTGTATCTTACCATGTTTGACTTTAATTAATATATATATATATATATATATATGAGCCTAACGGATGCTAAATTGTCGTCGCTATTTTCTTCAGTTTAGCTCTTCTTCCTCTGATGCAGCGGCCGGCTAATTTGATAATTGCACGTTCAAGCTTATTTACATCCAAGGGACTTGGGGCTTGAGATATATTTGCACATTTCACGGGACTCTAAAGTACTTAACTAATTTCTATGGGACTTCAATTCTTCCGTTTTTTTAATGTATTTTTCCGTCAACACCGTAAACTAAAAAATATAAAATAATTGAAAAAAATAATCGTGTAGTCAACATCAATCAAACAAAATTCTAGGTAGCTACAAAGCAAGATCATTTTATATGTCAAGTGTATATTTGCCATTTTTAGCTTGACTGTTTGATTGGAGAAAAAAAATCGAGAAATATATATTAATTTTATGATTTATTTATTTATGAAAGTTGGGTTTTTAAAATTTGGTGTAATGTGTGTGTATGTGTGTATATATATGGACTTGTGTTTTGTGTGCAATGAAGGCATGATAACGGGAGGAGCAGGAGCAACAGTGTTTTACAATCTAAAGCAAAGACACCCAACAAAGGAGCTGCCTATGATAGACTATGATTTGGCTCTTCTTTTTCAGCCAATGTTGGTGCTTGGAATCAGCCTTGGAGTTAGTCTGAATGTCATTTTTGCTGATTGGATGGTTACTGTTTTGTTAATTGTCATTTTCCTTGGTACATACCAATTAACCATACAATCTTACTTTAATTAATTATATCATGTCATGTTCTTAATTATTCCTCTTGATATTCCTCAACCACTAATCATCATTTCATTCATGGTTGTGTATTGTAATACTATGCATGTCTGTATATATTCAACAGTCATTTCAACAAAGGCTTTCCTTAAGGGTGTTGAGACCTGGAAAAAAGAAACCATTCTTAAGAAGGTAATTCCTCATCTTCCACCTCATTTAATAATACACGCACGTACATGCACGTACACTGTTCATGATATTAATTCTTTTGTCATCCTTTGGAACTTCTTCATTTTGATGCATTCCTTATGATTTCAGGAGACTGCGCTACTATTGAATGGTAATTAAGTTCTCCCTCCCATTTTAATTATAGGATAAAGTTTTGAAGCTTTAAAGTTTTATTCAGTCCTAAATATTTACTATTATAGGTTAAAGATGTGATAGATAAATTTCCCTCCACATTACCCCTATTTAGTAATAAAAATCATAAAACCTTAATTAGGGGAGTAGGGAGTAGGAATGGAATGAATGGAATTGGACAAAAAGTCATCTAATGATTTTAAAAAATAGATGGATGCATGAAAGTCAATAATATATATCTATATACTAATTAAAGTCCAAAAATGATGTTAAATTTGACTGACTAGTGATGATTAGATGGTATTGTGAGGAATGGAGAGAGAAGAAGAGGATCCGAAGCTCCACCATCATCAGGTCCAAGTCCAAGTCCAAGCAATGAAAATCAGGGAGCAACCACAGCATCAAAGAAAGAAAAGGTCAGATCGTCATACTTCAGTGTATGATATGCACCAATTAAGCTATATATAATTAATATTGTTTAAGAGAATGATTATGCACGTACACATCTATGGTTTCATGCAGGTTTCTATTATCGAGAACGTTCGATGGAAGGAACTAGGGCTTCTTTTCGCTGTTTGGGTCACCATACTTGCCATACAAATTGGAAAAGTTAATACCCAACTCCAAGCCATACATACATACATACATACATACATACATATATATATATATATATATATATATTCCATGCACTTATGGTTGCATATACATAGCATAATGCCATAACACATGCTAATTAATTAACATGATTTGTGTCGTTTCTGGAACAGAATTACACTGTAACGTGTTCAGCGGCATATTGGGCATTGAATCTGCTACAGGTATAATATCTTACCATCAAATAAGACCCTATTATTTGATAGTTGTTTTTGTCATTAGGGGTCTTACTTAACAATTATTTAATAATAATCGGTCAAGTATAAGCTTTTATGTTACGACTTTTGCCAATTTTAGAAGCCTATGGTTGAATAATTTAATGGTAAAAAACATATTTAATTTGAGGGCTGCTCTAGAAATTTATAAAGAAATCAACTATGTACCAGCTAGCCAATAACAAGAAACAAATAGATCACTATTTCTATTAAAATTATTATCTAAATACATTAAAATTCCTATATCATTCCTATGCTTGAACTGAAAACCATAAAAAATCAATAATTTTAGCTAATTTGCAAACTAAAGTTCTAAAAATAAGTAGCCTAAGACATAAAAGTTGGTCAAAAAAATAAATTTATAAATCATATATATATATATATAGGCCTAACTATTGTTGCTATCTACATGTTGAAAACGCTTTGGGTTACCTCTTTAGGGACTTCTTCTATATATATACCAAATATGGTAGACATTCTCAAAGTATTGTATGAATTAGAGTCGTAATAAATTTAAGTTAATAGTTAAATAATTAAAGTTGGTTAAAATTTATAATTTAAGTCTAATTAAATTTCAAATGTATCTTGTTGAGAAATGTGGTAGGGGCATAAGTGATGATGTCTTTCATGAATCTCCTTAGGCAATAACTATAATCATTGTCCTGATCAAGTTGGAGTAGACATTGTCAAAAAAAAAAAACCATATATCAGTGAAATGGAATAACAAGACACAATTTCTTGATTAAAAATCTAACCAATTAAATGAAGGGTAAATGTGCATTTTTACCCCAGAAGTATCTCAAGGAGCACCCGAGACCTTAATATTTTTGTTGGAGCAACTTTGCACTTAAAGTTATTAAAATGGAGTATTTTTGCCCTTTCAATCAAATTTTCTAACTGTCAACATTTGAGATCAAGATTAAAATTTTGATATAAAGGCAAAAATGCTTCATTTTAATAGCTTTAAAGATAAAATTGCTAAAATAAAAATGTTAGGATGCTGGGTGTTCCTCGAAAAATACTTTAAAGGTAAACATGCACCTTATCCTTTAAATGAATACCTTAATTGTGACTCATTTCTCATAAGATTTCATTGCCCTTAAATTGGGAGACAAGGTCTTCGTCACAATGCTAGACAATATCATAGCTCAAAAAAGGAAGTAAAGGATAAATATGAGAAAATGTAAGTGTGGAAGTTAAAATAACAAATGAAAAAATTTAACTTATTAAAAGTTCTATCATATTTGACCTATTACTTAGTTCTCCAGTAAGAGAATTAAGATATCATATATTTGGAGCAACATGATTAACCACCATAAGTATCCAGTGCCCTTAATAAACAATAACAGATGTTATCAAACAAGTAAATATAAACAAACATTTATTCATACCAAAAGTAGCTAGAAAGTAACTCAACTTTGGTAGTAAAGAGCAAGAGATAAAGTATCACTGTCTGCTCTACTATTCTTGAATTGACCTGAAAGCTTCCTTTCTTGATCTTTAAGAGCTTTCTTAGTAATATCATTATGCGGAGAGATATTGTAGGGATTAACCAACTTGAACATCAACTTGAGGCCATCAGGAGCCATGAATGAGTCATCCTCATAGCCATTACATAAGTCTCAAAAGAGACGTGATATTTGTGTTCTACAATAGGCACTGGCGCTAGATGTTGTGAAACTATGACTAACTCTTTATTAAATATCCTGGGTTGATTGCAACAAGTAGAGAAGCCCTCATAAAGTTAGGTGGGAGGGGATGGTTTATGAATTGTGTCATCGAGAATGTTATACACGTACCCTTGTTGCAACCACTTTGCATTCAAGATTGTTTGCTAGACAATTGTAATTGTTCTTGCCCTAAACAAACAATGACCATTAATTTCTAAGATAAAAAAATTAAATAAATTCAAAAGATAAAACATATTGCTTTAAGTAGTTTTTTCTAAAGAGACTATGTAGTTATCTTTTTCACTAGGGCTAATATCACTCAAAATCCTTTTAGGGATTTGCCCTTTTAGCAACATGTCAATTATAATTGCTTGGGCTTGTGGCTACTCCTTCGTAATGTTTTGCTCTTCTCTTAGCTCTCGGATCTCAGACCAAGAAGCTGATGTTCACTTTTTCATCCTTTTAAAATATTGCTTCTTTATGACGCTAAAGCTGACATCCTTGACATGACCAAGATTCCTAACACTCTGACCAAGATATCCTCATACGTGGGAAGCTTTCCCTTTGAGACTTCCTAAGCGATGGAATTTTGTGCAAAGTAAATATAACTAGTTTACATATTCATAATCAATTATTAATTGATAGATAAACATAATACTTACAATTTTTTTAATAACTTTTTTCACATGAGAGTTGTCAATAATCCCTTCTTTTTCACACGAGTCAATTTGTTGCTTGTTTCACTTTCACCATCAAATTTGCACTTGATATATTTGACGGTTATTACCAAGCAAGCTTCAAACAATTATATTTTTCATAAAATTATAAAATTATTACTTATATGATGCTTGTTAGGTTATAACTGTCAAATATATTAAGTATATATTTGACTGTTATTTTGAAACAAGTGTCAAATATATATATCATTAACTAGAATTAATATAAAAATATACTTGAGGGTTATTTTTAAATAACCGTCAAGTAAATGTTTAAACACCTGATGATTGTTTAAAAACAACTGTCAAATATTTTTCACCTCTTTTATTTGTCGCTTTTATGTGATAATTGTCAAGTATGAGGCATCTTATTAAGCAAATTCTGTGGTAGTGTCCTTTATCCAATTTTAAATCTATGACTCACTTTAATTAACAATGTCAACTAGCTAGCTTAGCTTAATTAACAGGCATAGAAAGATTAAAAAAAAAACAGTTAACTTATTTTAACCAGTGATCTACTACAAAGAATCTAATTCAATTGGTAGGAGGATGCAATAGATTAACTAGAAGTCTCATGTACTCAAGCTCAAGCCTTGGAATGCGACCATGTTAAATACTTGATGGTGGAGTTTCACTATCTTTTGTGGTCCTACTTGTCTCAACCCAAATGCAAATCCTTTAACTGAAGTGAGGTAGGTCCAAGATAGTGGATGTTCGAATTTTTTAGTTAGGGGTGTATGTATACAACTACGTTCAAGGATTTAGGGGGAAAAAACATAATGATTTGCATTAGTCAACGTCCAATGTAACCTCTAGAACCGGCTGGGTGGTTTGATAGGGGGGAAAAAACATAATGACTCACTTGCTTTTTTCACTCATGAAAATTCTCAAGGGGATGTATGACAGTGAATTGATGATCAGATACCAGTGGCAGTGGGAGTGACATCATACCAAGCAGTGTTACTGTACAAAGGGAAGAGAGTGATAAAATCAAAGGAAGGTCTCCAACCAGAATGGAAAGTGCATCAGCTAATCCTCTATTGTTCCTGTGGCATGGTTGCTGGTATTGTTGGTGGCTTGCTTGGCCTTGGTGGTGGCTTCATTCTTGGCCCTCTTTTCCTTGACCTTGGAATCCCTCCTCAGGTATATATAAATATATATAATGAAATTGGAAAACAGAAAAATAAATAATTTTGCTTATCTATGCAACGCAGGTGTCAAGTGCCACATCCACTTTTGCCATGACATTTTCTGCATCAATGTCAGTGGTGGAATATTACCTCCTAAAACGTTTTCCTATTCCTTACAGTAAGTGTGTCTGGATACACACATATGACACAATCTATTTTCATGTGTTCATCATACTAAAAAGAAAAGTTACCTTTTGCAGCCCTTTATTTTGTGGGTGTAGCCATTATAGCTGCAGTTTTAGGACAATATTTGGTGAAAAAGCTGATAGCAATATTAGGGAGAGCTTCGTTGATCATTTTCATTTTGGCCTTGACGGTTTTTGTCAGTGCAATATCACTAGGCAAGTATCTGTCATTGTTTCTCTCTATTTATTATTTTCATATTTTTTTAAAGATCTTTTCATTTTGCGCGCATGGTTATTATTAATTAATTAATTAATTAGTGTTTGAATATGATATATAACAGGTGGTGTGGGCATAGCGGAAACGATTAAGGAGGTTGGGAAGCATAAGTACATGGGTTTTGAAAAACTCTGTGCCTCTATAAGTTAAAATATTAGACAGCTTTTCGTTGCAGCTACTGGTGTTTCTAGCTATGTGGTGATATAATTTTTTACAACATGTAATTTCAATTTTAGATTTATTCTGCTCCTTGTGAAGAGAAGCTAAGCCTGTGTTAGAAGAAATCATAATAGGCACATTGTATTGATGCTTCTCTCGTAACAACACTATACATATGTTTGTAGGCAAATTAAATTTAAGTGTAAAAATAAAAATAATTTAATGAATAATATTTTGTTTGATTTAGACTTTTTTTTTTTGGTCAAAGTATTAATGACCTTGCAAACCTTACAATATTTGATATATTTTTTTTTTCACATGTTAGAATATAATTCTTGTTTAATTGCTGCTGATCGATGAAGTTTATTTCAAAATTTCTATTTATTGCTGGTTTGGTAACTTCCCGTGAAGGTTGCTCTTGAACTATTTCTGAGCAAGGGGATTTTGCTTTGCATTTTTTTATTAAAAAAAAAATTACAAGGGCAGAATAACGACTTGGGACTGTTAGCAGAATCGAACCCATGACCACTCAGTTATAAAAAAGTTTCCATATCACTATGCTACAACGGCATTGTTAAATTGAATTTTATTTTCTAGATTATTGATGTATATTTGCTTTTAGTTTGCATTTGGCAAAAATTTATTTGAGGAATCCAATTATTTACTGAATTTGATAAAAGTACATTTCAATTATAATTTGAATATACTTAGGTTTACTCAAACACTTGGATTTAGACCACATTAGGAAGAGATGGAGAGAAGGCATCTTTCAAGAAATGGGCCTTGGACTCAAGAGTTGCTTATAAACAATGTCCATTTAGATCATAAATAAAAATTGGGCCATAAAGGCCCAATATCTTGGATTTGTTCTTCATTTTTGAAGTTAAATTGCTGCCACCAACCAAAATTGAATTTAGTGGAAGAAGTTAATCATTAAAAATATAGTGAACTAAAATTTGAATTCGCAATGAAAGATATACTTACATTTAATGTCTAATAATAACTCAAATGGAATTACCTACAATTGAAGGATATTTATGGATAAAAAAAAGAAAGAAATTGAATTGCTACTTTGGCCCCTGGGTACTCAAAAAAAATATTTAACAAAAAAATTAGGTAAATTGGATCTAGAGACATCAAGGAACAAGGTATTAAAAAAAAAAATCAAGTTTGACTCCTTATGTTTTTCAGAATTTTATTTTAGCCTTCTGTATCTTTGTAGCCTCTGTTAGGTCCTAGAATTTCATTCCGTTTCTGCCGACCCATATATATATATATATATATATATAATTTGGGACCAAAAAATTATTAAAATTTTTTTTCATTTTCCCACTAATTTGCTCACTTCTTTTTGAAAATTTATTATTATACGAATTTTAATAGATTTGATCTTTTTGCACATTGTCTAGTGTGTTTTGATTTGTTTAAATGATGGACAAATTATTGTACACAATCATGGCACATATAAGGCTTTGCAAAACCTCATAAATTTGTTTAATAATTATTTTTCACAAAGTGGTAAAATTAGTGTGAAAATGATAAATTATAAAAAATATTTTTTATTACTTACACGTATTCTTTTATTAGTGGTAATCTTATTTAATAAACTATCAGGTGTTAAATGTGAACAATTCACAATCAATAAAAAATTCAATCCTTAATTTATTATATTATGAGAAATTAATCTCTTTTACTAGATCAATTCATATTGATATTGATATAGTGAGACATTTTAAAATTCTTTAAAAACTTCAAACCTATAAAGTTTGTGATATTTTTATAGGATTCTTGAACCAATCCGCAAAAGGCTCACCCACAAATAAAATGGGTCATAGCGGCTCGAGCCCTGAAAGTATGTATGTTATCTTGGAATTTTTGCATGAACTTTTTTATGCATAAACTATGCATAGTTGTCAATCGCAATCTGCTTTCCCCCAGTAATATACAGTTTTGTTATTAAGTGATTAACTATTTATTAGAAGTTACATAAAAACAATCCGTCACGATGTTTAAATATAAATGAACTTAAATTAATGTAAAAAATAACACTTCAATTGGACTGAGTTAAATAAGTATGGGACAAACTTATATATTTGATCTTATAGATTAAAGTTCTTATTTTCGATCAAATATGTATATCTTTTATAAATTATTTATTTTATAAAAAATTTTTATCATTAAAATTTACATGTCTTGATTTGATTAGATAAAAGTATAATAAATATATAATACTAAACATATAAGTTTAGCCCAATAAATAATATATAATAAAAAGTACACCTAAATTTGAACCTAAAAATTTTAAATTAACATGGGTCTCCTTTTTAACGTATTAGGAGTTATCACCCATTTGTTTTCTCGTTTCGGGGCTTCCCATTTGCACGCACGCTCTCTTTAAACCCAAAAGCAGCGGAATCGCATGCACGGTCTTATTTCTTCTGGGCCTGTCTCCTGCAAAATTTAAGTATCGGGCAACCAAGGTTATACTTTGTAACTAGTGTAATAAATTTGCTATATCTATGTATTATTGGATCATTATAAACATTTAATTAATACGATTGGTTTTCGTTTATTTTATGAGAATGAGAGTAATAGTAAAAACAAAAGCTTATACCGTTCACGTCAATTAAAATCAATGATAGGTGCAAGAATTCTTCTTGAACTTAATGGGTTTGGATCTGGAAGACTTGAGGAGCAGTGGGCAGGTGATTTGCTTGTAGTGCTTGGTCCTCACAAGCTTACCAACCACATTCCCTCTTGAACGAATCTCAAACTTGAGTGTGAGTGGAACATCAACCCCTGTTTGGGACGCTGTGATTGTTGATCCTGCTCCGTACAGTGGAACCTTGTTCCCTTCCCAGTTCACTAATACAAATCTCTTACTTTTTCTGGGCTGATAATTCTTCCTTAGCTGCATCCAGACACATGAACCATTAGGTTAGGTACATACATGTAGGTTTTCCCCTTTGGACCATAATATAGAGTATTCATAATTACTTCATGGTTCTAAAAATTAAGTGAAACCATAATCTCTTGAAAAATTTTACTTCTTTTTAATTATATCCTCATTAAATATCCTATAAAGTATACAAGTGCCTTAATAATAATAATTAAAAATTTCAACGTATCATTTTTTTTAAAAAGAATAATAAATAAAGTAGAAGTATAGTTGAAATTAAAAAATAATTATAAAAATTATATTATGTCATATATTTTAGAACAAACAAAACTTTGAGATGATATTTGTATTATGATATGAAGGAAACATATTGCTTCAATTGAATCCTCTTGACAGGGGAGGGGGAATCAAGAGGGATCATGGTTCCTAAGTTTTTAAAATTTTCTTAATATTATACAGATGTTACATGTATTCCTTGTCCTACAATATTTCTGAAAGTTTTGTAGTATACATGCTTTTTTAATCTCCAACATGTTCAAGGTTAAATACTGTCTCAGCCCAAGCAACAGTGATATCAGAGAAGACTAGATTGATGGGAGAGGAATAGACATGGATTCCAAAAAGCGTGGCAGGGTTATACACATTTATTCTCAATGATCCATTTACTGTGAGCAACTTTGTTGGCACTCCTGTGAAGTCTGAACCCTCCCCAACATACATGTTATGTACTGTCAAGCTCTGCAAATATGACAATGCATCTTAATTTAATAGGGTTGCTATTCAAAACCAGAAATTTTTAGACTAACCAGTGAACACACTTCCTAGCTCCCTTTCACCCTTCTCTGAGATACCTTGAATTGCTTCAATAACTTCATCTACTTAGCACGTAAGACTTTATACTTGGTTTATAGACAGTTTCAGTAAAAAGAAACCGTAAATTCCATCTATGAAATGCAGAGAATCCACTGTAACCATAAATTCTGGTGGTCAGACTGAAGATGTTCTTTAGAATTATGACTAACCTTGACGGTAATCTCTGCCTTGAAAGGTCTGCTAGCACCCAAATGATCAAGCAGCACACAGTGGAGAGAGCGACGAAGCTGAACAGAGCAATCGAAGCCTGGGCTCCTCTGGTGAAGGCCAATTTTTTGAGCTCATCAAACTCTCCTTCTTCCATAATCACATTACACTCAGGACATCCCTTGTCGTTTCTCTTTCTGCTTCCTCCTTTTTCTCCCTGAAGATGACCTGAAAATCCCAGAAAATCTGCTCGCCGACGAGTTCCTTGAACGCCTCCCAAAAGAAGGGTGCGAAGGAGACTCCACGGGGCTATTGGATATAGGAGTCGCCTGCGTTGATGACGACTAGTAACCATCGTGCGAGTCCCTTGAAGGGCTCTGCACCTAGTACACTGGTCGCTTCGGAGACTTTGAAGGTGAAGAAGATACCAAACTGGTAATATGGGATTCTGATTAATATGACAACGCGAGCTGGTATGCTTGAGAAAGGAAAAGGCATACATCCTAATACACGCGCGCGCGCGCGCGGCATCATATTTTAAGCAAGTATGCTATAATAGCTTAAATCATAATTAGGAGAAGCTAACATGTTTGAAAAAGACATAAACACATACGCATAATTGAATTAAAAAGGTATGAGCATGTTAGAAAATTTAAACCATATAACTAAGGAAATATCATAACAGATATAATATTCATATGACAATCATGATTATATTGATTCACATACCAAGCCAAATAATAATTTAAAAATTCTTTTTAATAATAGTTACACATTTTTATTCTTCTTTTATTTTACATTACCTCTTCCTTATTTCTTTAAATTGAAATTCTAAACCATAGGAGATGGTGCTCGATTAACAACCATGTCACTTTTCATCAAGTCTTGACCAGGGCCTTTTTCACTTGTAGGGGGTGTCTAAATGGTATCAAGTTTGTTTCAACCTTAGTTAAAAGAATTGAAGTAACTCAAGTACATATTAAAGCTGTCTAGTGTGCGCCACATGGAGGCAAGTGGGTAATCACGGTCCAACATTACTTTTTCATTTTAAACCCATAGCTTGTAGCCATCTCATAACAATATAGTTTCAATATATTTTATATTAAATTATAATTTTTCACAATGAGTTTTTCTCAAAATTTTCAGTGCTTATCATTTGACATTATTAAACTTTATAAATTATATATATTCAAACTTGACCAAAATCTAACGAGTCAATTTATGATAAAAGTGAGTCTATCAAGTTCTAGAAATTTTAAACAAGCAATTATAAAAAACTCTTAAGAGTTTTTCACTAATCATAATTCACAGATTTTTTCTATAAATT